AAATTTTACGAACATTATTTTTAGTTTTTTATTCTTTTAGGAAATAGTCTTGCCTAGATTTAATCTTTACGTCCCAAATATTATTTACATCGGAGTTGCATCATAAATTGTACTCGGATTCAAACGACACAATGTCAATGATTTTATAAAAGTAAAAGCATATTGTGTATTGGCCTATTGGGTTTACACTTTTACAGGTTCATTTAACTTTAACTCTCTCAAGTCTCAACAGACAATTGGACAGGCCAAATCCATTGATATGACAACTTCAAAAAGCGTTTTTTCGAAGCTAGAAATCGTGATTTTTTTCAATTTTTTCCAGGAATACTTTGTTTTCTGCTCTTTAGACTCCCACTCGCGGCTCTAGTGCTCCACCCCTAGAATATAGACCTTACTGGGGTTTGGTGACACTTTGTGTTGCTTCAGTCACCTGCTCGTGGTTCACACCCCCCCCCCCCTAAAATTCTGGCACCACCCCAGTAAAAAATATGAAAATCCGTCTATGATGTGGTATGGAAATAGTATGGATAAACTATGGTCTATGGATTTAGTGATGCAATGGCAAATTCCATAGTATGAATTTCACTATTTTTTTTCCAGTGAGGTTCATGGTCTTTAAGCCCGCCGCACACGAGCGCACTTGTCGCGCGTACTTGTTATTCGTGACAAGTTGGATCGACAAAATTTCCTCGTGTGCGGGCAATATTTACGGCATTTTCGTCATTCGTGACATGTAAACCAAATATCAAACATGTTTGATATTTGGTTTACATGTCACGAATGACGAAAATGCCGTAAATGTTGCCCGCACACGAGGAAATTTTGTCGATCCAACTTGTCACGAATAACAAGTACGCACGACAAGTGCGCTCGTGTGCGGCGGACTTTAGCAGTAGCTGATTTCAGCTTAGTGCTAGGGCATTCAAATTCTAACAATACGTTATTTCAATAGTTTGGGGTTCTTTTGGACACCTTGTATGTTAAAGTTCTTATCGATCCACTCAATTGTCTCAAACATTTCATCCTATTAAAATAATAATCATCGAAGCTATTAAGCATTGCGATTAGAGGTTGGCCATGAGTAACAAAGCCTGATGTCTTTTCTTGATGAGCGATTTCAATTTGTTGTTCATCCATGGCACATATGCCGTGGAAACTTGAATTCATTTCCTTGGCATAAAAAGCTCAAGGCCGGTACAAACAACATCGATCGTAAAAGGTATTCCACATTTCTTCGCAGTTGTTCTGATCGGAAATAATTGAATACTAGTCTATTGAACTTAAGTATCTACCAAATTCGGCTCTACGAGATTGACGATGGTTTCGTTTCATTACAATCCTAATTCTTATTGGGTTTTTGACTTTTAACTAGTGGACGGACAATTACGGTATTGTGGTTGGAGAGGCCAAAGGGGGTAGGATTTCTGGTAAAAAGTAATATTCGTGCAAATTGGTTAACGCTAAGTCTAAAATAGCATCGTTTCTCGTCGGAGCTTCAAACAATTCACGGAGATAATGCGAGTTAATTAATGAATTGTTTTTAACATCAATATAGCTTTACGCTTTTTCTGGCGTGTTGAAAGATTATCCCAGCGCAACTTACTAAAAAGGTCGCTGGAACTAGCGTCATATCGAGATTTAGTGATGATCCTCGCTGATTTTGCAATTTATCATTTAACGTAATATTTAAACCATCCCAAAAATTCATTAATTTTAGCGATTCCCAGCAGCCTTTCGCGCTCGTATTCGACTTTCCCGCTTTGCTCGGGGACAACCTTAATTGAAATAGCTGTCACTGATATGTTCGTTATTATGTACAAGTAATCGTTGACGAGACCCGATTATCATAAATTCCGTTTTAGCACCGACGTTAAGACTCGATCTATTAGTTATTAGCCATTGCGTTGATGAAGCTCCGATTTTGCTGCGATACTTATATTAGTGTCGACAGCAAACATTCTTGGTAACGAGTCACCTACAGCTAGGTCGAGTCGCGAGTCGAGTCATTTCAATTTCTGATCGAGTCGAGTCAACGGATTCACTCGAGTCGAGTCACTGGTTTAAGTCGAGTCGAGTGAATAGATAGACTTGACTTGAGCCGGTCAGGGAATTTGATCAAGTCCACTGTCCACCCCACGCTTTCTGTAAGTGGTTCGCTTCCCTAGCTTGCAATTGTAGTCTGAAATTAGTAATCAACCTTTTAAGCTAATCATTTTACCAATATCACAGTTCTACTGAGTCAATATTAAGTACGACCTCATCAGATGTCTCATCATGCCTAGCTGCTGATCGATTGTAGTATACATACAACTAGCATAACTTGCAACTGGAGTCAGAATTAACAAAGAATATTAATAGACTTTAATTAATCACGCTTTGTAATTCATTAATATAGCACTTCATAAATACCAAAAATGAAAAGAGCCGGTCAAAATTAGTATGAGTACACCGGCAAAATTTTGAGACTACATTTTAAAAACTGTGACTAGGGTTGTTTTTAAAAACAGAAATGTAATAGGCATGCCCGTCAGGAATGTATTCTATGCAAATCCCCATATATTTTCTGATAGTAAAGTTTCGAAGTTCTCATTGTTCACAGTACTGCAGTGTTCTTCCCGCCAAGCAATACAATCACAATAATTTTGATGTACAAGTTGTAGCTGAGTTGACTCGAGTCATTTACTGTCGAGTCCGAGTGGAGTCATTTTTCGTATTGGACTCGTGTCGCTGAAAATAGCGACTCGAGTTGACTGAGTCCGAGTCAATGATTCGACTCGTTACTATCCGGGAAGATGCTTGTGCTTATACTTTATAGTATACAAATATTTGAGTTAGCGATGGAGCAGCGATTTCAGCTACGATTTTTGAAAATTTGCAAGGTATTTTATCAAGACCTGCTGCTTTCCTTTCATTAATTGCTTTTAGTTTTTTGCGCCTAGCCCGTAGCGCTAATAGTTAAAACAAGTACCGGGGAGTTTTAATAGCCATATAGTATACAGTATCTATCGTATGTGTTAAAATTATAAGCGTTTATCCTGTTGTCATTGCACAGATCGGCTGGTACAATGTTACCAACTGGTGCGTCGAAGGCTGGAAGGCAAGAATATTCTTCCCTTCGAAACTAAACACATTATAACGTCTGTGTAATACAATAATGCCTCGTGAGAGGAGATTACCAAGCGACTGTATTATTATATATATTGAAGTCCATGTTACTTCCACACGATATCAGGAAATTGAGTTCCTCCTTTTCAGCTTTTGGTAACACATTTTGTCCCAATGAACCTTAATCCTTCAATGCTATTTAATAGGAATAGGACTCAAAAGAAGCAGGCGATGTCTGACTTTAAGTTTAATTTATGTAGATCCAAAAGACCAAAATATTATTACTGACTGGAAAGTTTGGAAATTGCGCTCCGGAGATTTCGAAAATTCAATAGTAAATATATAGAAAGCATCAACATTTGCGCGCCCGATGTCTCCGCCGCGATACAAATATAATATTTAATATTAATAATATTTAATATTTATATTGCGCAAATTAACATGTTATAGTATATGATCAAATGCGCGTCACAAAACATAATTGCACTAAAATTATTCTATGCTGAATGGTTACTAACTAAAAATATAAAGAAGATTATATAGATTATATGTTACATGAAGTATTTACATTAAAGGCTTCTTCAAAATAATAAGTCTTAACTAATTTCTTGAAAATACTAAAGTTATGCAGATTTCTAAGGCCATGGGAATGAAAGTCATAGATTTGCGTCCGGATAATTTTGAAAAAACATGCGGGTTTTTTTCATTATTCATTATTCATTATTTTTTTACCATCCTTTTGGGTGGTAAATACAGAGATCAAAACACAAATTACCGTTTACG